ACTTTTCTTTTTGTAATTTTTATTTTAATAATTTTCTCTTTTTTTTTAAATAACTTTATGGATTAATTTTTAATGATTATATGACATTAATGTATTATCTTTTTCTTTTTTAATCTAATGATTTAATTATTCAGTTTCAAATTGGAAATAGAGAAAATTCTGCAACTTTGTCATTGAATTGCGTAAAATATTCTTGAGAAAATAGAAAATTTTCCACTTTACAATTGTAATAAATTGAATTACTCATTTGAACCTGAATTCACTAATTAAAAAATTGTAATAAAATTGAATAAAAAAGAAAAGAAAAAAAAGTGTAAAAAAAAATTCCAAATCAATACATATATAACATAAGCTTACAATTTTTTTAATTTTTTTTTCTTGTCGCAATAAATTATGAATTTATGCTTATGCTTATATGAATTTGAATAAATTAAAAATTGAATAAAAAATGAAATTACTCATTTCTATAATTTCTAATTTAAAATAACAAATAATAAATCATATTCTTTCTTTTTCTTCATTTCATTCTAAAAATTTTTTTTTTCTTTTCTGTCACTTTTTTTTTTTTTTGATTCATTCTGTCAAAAAAAAAAAATAATAGCAGAAAAATGAAGAAAAAAAAATAAAATAAAATGGATGAAAAAAGGTTAAAGAAAGAAAGAAATGCGGAAATATAAAGAGAAAAGATTAAAGGCATAAAATTTGTTCGTAACCATCCATTGATTCATCCATCCATTAGTTTTAAGAATATTTGTGAAATGATGGGAGATGGGGAAAAAAAAGGAAAAAGAAGAATGCTTTTGCTTTAACTCTTGCTACATGCTTATTTGCTATTATTGCTAGTTTTAACTTGGATAGGAGGATGGATGATGGGAGTGCTATTTGTATGATTGATGTTATCAATGAGCAAATGTCATCTATTTCAATTTCAACGCAAATAAATACATCGTCTCTTTCTCTCTTCCCATCATTTCATCCCTTTATTTTATTTCAATTACTAACAATTTTTGTTTTTGTTTTTTTTTCCTCTCTCAACTTTATTGTTTTGATACAATTGTGTTACACATTCATATATATATATAGGTATTAAATGGATTCATTTTATATTAATTTATTTTTTAGTATTTAATTAATTTTTAAATTTCATTTCAATTATCAACTTTTTTTTAAATTCGTTGAAAAAGAATTGAACAAAAATCATTCATTTATATGAAAGTAATGTTTGAAATAGAAAATTAAAATTGTATAACATTAAAATGACGTTTTTTCTTTTTTTACTTAAATATATGAAATTTTAACTTGATTAGAGAAAATTTTATATGTAAAAATAATACGCAAAAAAAAACTTTGTTTGATGATTGTTATTAATTTTTATTTTTTTAACATTCAAAGAAAGTGAAGTAATAAAATTTGTTCATATAAGGTTATATTTATGTTAAGACAAAAGTTTAAAATTTAAAATTCCTGAAGTAATTTTTGTTGTAATTGTTTTTTTTTCGAATTATTTATTAGCTTTTTCAAATAGTTTCAACAAGCAACACTTTTTTTTTCTCATTAATTATACATACTCATTAATTAATCAATTTGCTAATCAATTGAATCAATTTTGCTTACTAAGTACTCAAATTTATCGCTTTATTTGTACCTTTGTTTTTTTGTTTTTTTTGTTTTTTTGTTTTTTTTTTGAAAATTTCAGATGGATATTCAGAAAAATGATCTCTATTTGGCCTAATTCATTGCCAATATGATTAAATTATTATTATCGTTTCTAATATTACTTATACCTGTATTATATGGTAATGAAGATGCAAAACGATTATATGATGATTTATTGGTAAATTACAATAAACATCGTCGACCAGCACCAGAACCAAATAAACCGATTAATATCAAGCTTAAATTACGACTTTCACAAATTATTGATGTTGTATGGTATCATTCCTAATATTTCAATTTTCACCAATCAATAATCTCGTTAATTAAACGATAAGTATATGAAACAATTAGATTTTATTAGCATGCATTAACATGGTGAAATAATTTAAATCCAATAATAAGTAATTGAAAATTATTTTTCGAATTTGATTGTCAATTTTTTTTTTCAACGGAAGAAAAAAGTCTAAAAAAAATGAGAAATTATTGAAATTCTAAAAATAATAAGGAATTTATTGTAATTTCATTTCTTGAAAATAATAATATTATTAATACTTTTAATGATAATTATTTTAAATAATATCCTTCAGAAAAACAAATCCATTTCTATTTTTTTTTTTAGTTTCTATTTTCTATTTTTCAATTATGACAGAGAAAAAAACGACTTTGAATTTTATATTTTTTAAAACAGATTTCCTAACCTTAAAACTATATCAGTTTTCATTTTTCAAATTTAAATTCGATACATTTTACAGCATGAAATTGATCAAATTATGACGTGTAGTGTTTGGTTAAAACAAGTATGGATCGATAAAAAATTATCATGGAATCCAGAAATTTATGGTGGAGTTAGCGTACTTTATGTACCATATGAAATGATTTGGGTACCTGATATTGTTTTATATAATAAGTAATTCATTTCTCATTAATCAATTGATTGACGATAATTTTACTACAATAATAATCTTATGTGATAAATTAATGCAATTTTTTCTTTTTGATCAAATTTCCTTCAATGATCAATTTAAAAAAAAAAAATTCAATAATTATTTTCGAATTTTGGTCAAATTCATATTCTCTAAATGATAAATGATATCGAATGTAAATTTAACTTGATGTCAAAATTAAAAATAAACATGAAAATGCTCCAAATTTTGTTGTTTATTATTAATTTTGTTAGGGAAAATTAATGAAATGAGCAACTTTGTAGAAATGTTTGTTCCGATTAAAAGACTAATTGATTTTATTCAAAGGGTTAAAATCTCAAAAAAAAAAAAAAAAAAAAAAAAAGTAGAAATTGTAATATCTGACAATTCAATTACTCGAAAAATATCCAATCTGATAACAATCAAAATTGAAATAATCTTTTTATTTCATCGTTTTCATTGGGTTCAAGGAAGAAATTTTAAGCATCGTTTTCTGAAATTTATTCATCAAAAAAAAAAAAAAAATTACAATCTAAATCACAATCTAAACCATCCTTTCTTTTCCTTGTATACTTTTCCCATTATGCAAAAAAATATTTCGAAATAAACGATTAGAAATTATTGAAAATATTTTACTGAAGAATTATTAAAATAATATTATAATACATTAATTTTACAATCATATCAATTATCGTTATCAATTAATCGATTATTTTCGAGGAATTAATCCTAATATCTCAATGAAATGAAATAATGAAATAATTTGCCTTTTTTTTTTCTTTTTTTCTTTTAGTGCTGATAGTAGTTATAATATAACAATTAGTACAAAGGCAACTTTACGAT